ATTTTTTTTTTCCATTTTACTTATGAGTGAAAAATTTTGACTTAACACAATGACACGATTTGAACTTGACACAAATTTTATAACACGAACTTGATTATAACTCGACACGAATTTGAAAATAACTTGATACGCGACAAAAATGTAAAAGACTCATATTCAGTTCAATTAGTCAAACTCAAAATTGACACAATCAACTAAGTTTATTGAAAAATAAACATTTTTTTTTATTTTTTCGTTTGTATAGTAACACAAAATTAACACAAAACTTATATGTTTAACTAGTATTATAGGATATAAAATATTAATTATTTGTAATTGTTTATTAAGTATTGACATAATTATTATATAAAAAAGATATTTTTATTTATTATTATTATATTTATTTAAGTTAATTTTTAGTTTGTAGAAAAAATATTAACATGAATTCAATTAAGTGAAAATAAAATATTAGCGTTAATTTTTTTTTTCAAAGTTTATGTGGGTCAACATGAATATAAACATGAACATGACACGAAAATAAACAAGTCAACTCGGCACGACACAATTAGTTAAATGAGTTGAATTAGGGTTAACTAATGTTCGACACAAACCCGTAATGACTCAAACACGAATCTAGTACAATACGACTTGATTGTCATCCCTAATCTTAGTTAGCACCAAAAACAAACAAAATTTAATTATTTTTATTTTCTTTCCATCTAACCAGACACAAAATAAGGAAAATGTATCAGTCATAATTTCTTTCTTTGATCCTTTTTACTTTCTGTCCTTTCTACCAAACAGAGCATATGAGTCGAGAATTCATCTTTCCAAATATAATATTAAATATATATGTGTATGTATTTATGTGTATTTAAGAGAGTAATGCTTGTACGATACACCATGTTGGGATAATAAAAAAAATTGGTCCGGAAGGCACAAGTCGTTTGTGTTAGGCATTGAAAAATGGGTCAAAAAGCTACTTTGCTTGGTTGAAACTCATCAAAAGCTTGGTCTTTTTGGCCAAAAAACTTGTATAAAATAAGCATTAGGTGATCATTACTTCAATCAATTTCAACAAAGATTTTTCAAAATTTCTAGAACTTCATGTCTACTTGAGTCCCATTGCATAGATTGAGAGAGATTGGTAGCACGGTGTGTTCGGTCATTTGTGTCTAGTTGGTTTAGTACGTTCAAATTAGAGTTTTTTTCTTTTTCTTTTTTTAATTACATGTAGTGAAAGTTAAATTTTCAATTTGTCCAAAGATATCATCTTAATATTTAACTAATGTGTCACAATGATCTAAAAATTGGGAAACTTGAATTAAAAATTTCAGTTCTAATGATGAACAAGAAGGAAATATTCGTAAATCTTAAACTAATATAAACTATTATGAGAGCATCTTAAATAAGCTTTTTATCTCTATTCAATTCTTTATTTTAGAGAGTTGACTCTTAAAAAGTGATGATTCACAAATTAGATTTGCGCAAAATCAACAGTTGAGCATATAAAGAGACACAATTAATGAACAGTAAATAGACAATCAATGACAAAATTGTAAATAAGGAATCAACACCAAGATTTATAATGGCTCGGCCGGAGATCTTTATTGATGAATAAAAGTCACCGGGAGAATTACAGTATTTTGGAAGAGAGAGAGAGAGAGAGAGAGAGAGACTTGAGGTGTAGAGAGATCTCAAAGGTTATGTCCTTTATGTGAGGAGGGCTTACATTATATAGGTTTGGTGAGACGGTCACTACTTTTTAGTAAGTACAGTTATGGTAGGATTACATCTCTGTACATATCTTTATATTCTCTCCTCATGCTCCTATTCAGCAGGAGGAGGATATTGGGCTTAGACTTGAGTTGGTGAGTGCTAGACAAGAGTCAAAAGGGCGAAGGACTCTACGAGGTTGTACAAGAGAGGGAACATGAGACAAAGAAGGGAAGAGATCCCCTTGGGGTGGCCCCCCTTGGGGCGGTGTCCTTGGGGTGTCCCCTTGGACTCCTCTTTGACTTTGGCCTCCCTTAACTTGAGCTTCTCCTTTACTTGGGCTCTAAGGTGACGTGGGCTGCTCTTGAATAATTGGGCTTGACCCAGTTACCTTTGGGCTTATCAAAAAGTAATCTCCAATAAACTCTCTAAAATAAAGAGTTAGATTTGACTCTTTACATTTAGAGTCAATTTCACTTTGTAGTCTATTTTTTCAAAATAGAGAAAGGGTGTATCTGTTTTTTAGACCAAGAAGTTTAGGATAAACACTCTTAACAAAAAAAAGAAATCTCTTCCCGTGACTCCGTCATCTTAATCTCAAAATGAGATTTTCGAAGAAGCAAAGTACACAGCACCAAGTTTGGATATTAAAATAATTTCTTTAAGTGTTTGTCTTCTCCATTGTTGCCATTCCACGAGATGCAAGGAATATGGGAGGGGGCTGAAACAAGATGGAAGAGACATGGCAAGGGGTTGGAACGAAATCATGGGAAACAGTGGGTTAGTAAAATATTTAAAGTTAGGTAAAAAAATAAAGGAAAAAAAAACAGGAAGTTAAATTTATTCCTAAAAAGGACAAAATATAAAATAGTAAAATAGTAAAAATAAAGAGTTATATTAGAATGATATATAAAATTGTTTCTCTCTATTTTAACTTTTGGATAAAGATGTTCTTTATTTTGAAAAAGATATTAGACTGATATCATGTGTAATATATTAGGGATAGTTTTGTAATTACACAATGTATTCTTCTTATATATATATGATCACAAACCATACTTGGTAGTGTGGAATTCCATATTTCTTCATAGTATCAAAGCCTTGAATATTTTGTATCATGTCTACAACTACTGTGTCATCTTTTTCTTCCCCTTCTAATCTTCCTTCAATCACAACTACTACTATCATTCCATTCGCTTATGTTTCCCAACCTGTCCAATCCATTTCCAATTGTGTTGGATTTTTCCAACTATTTACTTTGGCGTGAACTTTTTCTGCCTGTTCTTGAAAGCCATGATGTTTATGGCCACACTGATGGTTCTTCTCCAAGTCCTTCACCATTTTTGAAGGATGATTCCAATAACCACATTCCTAATCCGGAATACAATTCATGGTTATAGTTTGATTATATGGTCCGTTCGTGGATTAAAGCCACCGTTTCATCTGACATTCTTCAGGCTATTATCAAGCCAAACTTCACTCAATCTGCTTGGGATGCCTGTCTCACTATTGCGCAATTATTTCATGATCAAGTGCATTCTTGTGTTCTGCAACTGAAAATGCAGTTTTATCATCATCCCAAGGGTGATCTTGCCATGAATGTTTATCTCCAACAACTCAAATCCATTGCTGACTCTCTTGCTTCTGTTGGTAATCCGATTTGTAACACTGATCTGGTTATGCAAGCTCTTGTCGGTCTTCCTTTTGACTATGAAAGTGCTGTCATTGCCATCTCTACCCGGATTCCTTTTCCTTCCTTTCCTGAGGCCCGTTCCCTTCTCTTTATTCATGAAATCTGGCTTCAACAAATGGCTACCATCACCAACAATTCCGCTTCTTCAACTGCTTTTGTTGCCAACCGCGCCAATCCCTCTTCTTCATTGGCTTCTTTCAGTAGTAAGGGTGGTCAAGGCCGTGGTTCACACAATTCTAATGGTCACCATTCTCTCTTTCCTGCTCCTTCATATTCTCCATCTCTTTCTCCCCCACTTCAATACCAACTTTGTTTTGAATTCTATCACTTGGCCCGTGAATGCCCTCAAAATTCCCAAGCCTTTGTTGCCGACACCAACTCTATTTCCTTTCCTGCTCCTCCAATGCATGATTCATTTGATCCCACCTGGTATTCGGATACGGGAGCTTCTTCTCATATGACCCCTCTCATAGGTAATTTGACTTCTCTTTCTCCTTATACCGGTGAGGATCGTGTTCAAGTTGGTAATGGTCATCTTTTACCTATCACCCCACACTAGTCAATCTTTTACTAAATCACCTAATTCCTCTTTTTCTCTTGGCAATGTTTTGGTTGTTCCCCATATTCAAAAAAATCTTCTTTCTGTCAAGTAATTTACTTCTGAAAATAATTGCAGTATTGACTTTAATCCTTTTGGTTTTTCTATCAAGGACCTCTGGACGAAAAAGGTACTTCTCAGGTGCAATAGTTCGGGTCCTCTTTATCCACTTTTTTCTACTGGTTGTGCTTCCATGGTGTCTGCCTTTACAACTTCAAGGGTGTCTCCACAGATTTGGCATAGGCGTTTGGGTCATCCCGGTTCTTGTGTTTTGCCTTTTCTTTTAAATAATGGCATATTTCCTTCTTCTTGTAAACAAATTGATTCGGGTTTTTGTCAAGCTTGTCAATTTGGTAAACATGTACGCTTTCCATTTCGTGAATGTTATGTTCGTTCCACTCGATCTTTTGCTTTAATTTATTCAAACTTTTGGACATTTACAGTTCTTTGTTTTACTGGTTATCGTTATTACTTATTGTTCATGGATGATTATTCTCGTTATTGTTGGGTTTTTCCACTTCGTCGTAAATCTGAAGCATTTGCTCATTTTAAATTCTTTTATGCTTTGATTTCAACCCAATTTCGTGCTTCAATTGAAAGTCTCCAATGTGACAATGGGCGTGAATATGTGAATAATTCTTTTAAGACATTTCTCCATTCTTATGGTATTCGTATACGTTTGACTTGTCCCCACACACATCAACAAAATGGGGTTGCTGAGGGTATGCATTGCACTATTCTTAATATGGTGCGCACTCTTTTGTTTCAATCCTTACTTCCTTTTATTTTTTGGGTTGAAGCTCTTCATATGACAGTGTATATTCTGAATATTCTACCTAATCTTACGCTTCATAATTTTTCCCCTTATACACTTCTTTATGGACAACCTCCATGTTACACTTCTCTTAGAATATTTGGATTTGCTTGTTATCCAAATATTACTTTCCATTCAAAATAAGCTTTCTCATCGTTCGATTCTTTGTGTATTTCTTGGGTATTCTGATTTACACAAAGGGTACCACTGTTACGATCCAGTCTGCAGGCGTGTCATCATCTCCCGCCATGTTCGATTTGATGAAGGATATTTTCCTTATCCTAATCTACACCGAAACACTCAGCTGGATTCTTCTAGCAGTTCACACTCTGCTGGACTCTTCTGCAAGCCATCTCCTACTCCTTTTGCACTCCTTATTCATCTCAAACTTTATCTCCGACTAACTTCATTTGGTTATCCTCAAATCAAACTCTATCTCCAAGCTTATCAACTCTCAGTTTATCTCACACCTTCAAAATCTGCATCATTATCTTCATCTCCCAACTCTTCTCAATCTCCATCGAATAAGGATGATCATTCATCCATTTCTCCTTTTTTGGATACTTCCAAAACTCCACCGAATAAGGATTCTCAATCCTTCGATAATTCCAAATCTTCACCGAATAAGGATTCTCATTCCTCGGATGATATCACATCTTCACCGCTTTCGGTTTCTCAATCCTTTTCGGATAATTCATCTCCCTCTCACCCACATATTTTATACACAAACTAACTTGCCTAAACCTCAGCCTTCTTCCTTAATTCCTACCGACACTGAGTTGCCTACTTCAATTTTGGAGACAACTCCTTCTCATTCTCTCCATCCAATGGTCACACGCACTCAAGATGGAACTCCTCGCCCTCGTGTTCTTTCATCTTTATTCACTTCAGCCTTTTCTTCATCTCTTCCCCCCCGAACCCCGGTCCTTCATAGAGGTTGTCAAGCATGCTCCTTGGCGTCAGGCCATGCTTGATGAGTACCAAGTCTTGCTTCACAACAATACTTGGTCTTTGGTTCCCTTGCCACCATCTACCAATCTTATTGGCTCCAAATGGGACTATAAGATCAAGCAAAAATCTGATGGCTCATTAGAACGCTATAAGGCTCGTCTATTTGCTCGAGGTTTTAATCAATAATTTGGTGTTGATTATTCTAAAACGTGTAGTCTAGTTGTTAAACCCACGATAATTCGGATAGTACTTTCTCTTGCTCTATCTCGAGATTGGCTCGTTCATCAACTCGATGTCAAGAATGCCTTCCTGCATGGTTTGCTCTCTGAAATTGTTTACATGAAACAATCTCAAGGTTTTGTTCATCCAGATTTTTCTTAGCATGTATGTTGATTGAATAAAGCCATTTATGGGTTGAAACAAGCACCTTGTGCATGGTTTCAATGCTTTACAGGTTTTTTGCTTCGAACTGGGTTTCGTTGTAGTCATTCAGATCCATCCATGTTCATCTACAATACACCTATTGATATGGTCATTTTATTATTATGTGTTGATGATATTTTGTTAACCGTCTCTTCCCAATCTATGTTATACAATGTCACTGCCTCTCTCAAATCCAAATTTTCTATGACTGACTTGGGTTCCATACATCACTTTCTTGGTGTTATGATCACTTATAATTCGGATGGGTATTTTCTACATCAGTCCAAATATACTCTTGATCTTTTAACCAAGAGTGATCTTTTAAAGGCCAAACCAGCAAGTACTCCCCTTGCGAGTAAATCCTCAGCTACTACCTCAAATGATCCAGTTTACTCCAAACCCACCTTTTATCGTAGTCTGGTTGGTGCTCTGCAATATTTGACTTTCACTCGCCCAGACATTGCATTTGCTTGCATTTGCAATTCATCATGTTTGTTAGCATATGCATGCTCCTTGAGAGTCACATTTTATAACAGTGAAATGCATTTTGCGTTATCTGAAAGGAACGATGCATTTTGGTCTTCAATTATATAAAGGCAACTTTGATTAAATTTTAGCTTATTCGGATGCTGATTGGGCGGGTTGTTCAAACTCTTGTCGTTCCACTACTGGTTATTGTGTTTTTATTGGTTCAAATCTTGTCTCTTGGAGTGCCAAGAAATAACCAATTGTTTCTCGTTCTAGTGCTGAGGCAGAATATCGATCTGTGGCATATGCTATTGCTGACACTTGCTGGATACAATCTTTGCTTCGAGACTTACATGTTACACTTCAGCAACCAATATTAGTTTACTGTGCTAATATCAGTGCCACATATTTGGCCATCAATCCAGTTCAACATGCTCGCACCAAGCATATTGAAGTGGATATCCACTTTGTTCGTGAACGTGTTGCTTGGGGTCAACTACAAGTTCTTCATGTATCTACTAATGATCAATTGGCAGATATATTTACTAGGAGCTTGCCTGCTACTAAGTTCAAGGAATTTTGGTCCAATCTATGTGTGTTTCCATACCCTGCATAGCTTGTGGAGGATTATTAGATTGATATCATGTGTAATATATTAGGGGTAGTTTTGTAATTACACAATGTACTCTTCTTATATATATGATCACACACCATACTTGGTAGTGTGAAATTCCATATTTCTTCAAAAGATGCTCTATTTTAAAGAGCACTATTACATATGCTCTTATTATGTAAAAGCAAATTGTTTATAATTTTAACATACAAAAATATATTTACATATATGCATGTGTTAGTACAAATCCAACAACTGTTGAAAGAAGTAAGCAAAAAAAGAAAAGGGAAAAAAATAAAAAAAATTAATTTTAAAAAATAAAAAACTAATTAAATAACATTAACAAATTGTGCTCTCTATTTGTTAAATTCTAAACAAGTTAAAGACAATTATAACCTCGTTTAGAAATATATTATGACTTCCGATAATGAATTTTGGGTAGCTGAGATTGAGGAGGACCCATATATGGTAGCTTTACAACTGGTTATGGTGACTTGAATTATGACTCATATATATATATATATATAACTCTTAAGGGTAGTCCGGTGGTCAAGTCTGTCATCTTATAAGCAAGAAGTTTCAGATTCGATACTTTTCACATCTCTTAAAAACCCCTTAAGAGTCAGTCACCTTTGTTTCTTAGGAAATATGTCCTAAACTAGATCAAGTTACGGTGGCTAGCCCAGAGCTCAAGTGAGTAGTTGACACTAGCTTAAACATTTCTATAGTAAAACAAAAAAAATGGTAACTTGAATTATGCATTAAACTAGAGATATATTTTCATGTTTTGTTCAATTGTCAGGGGTATCTAGGTCAGCTTAGCGCATATTGAATAATCTCCTTCTCAGTTCGGTCAAAGATAAACCATCCACACTAAGAGTAGGGAATTCATGAGAAATTTATGACTTGGCCCCAAGGGATTGCTAAGATTCGAACTCAGGACATTTGAATTTACAGTCTGTCCCTATTATCATTTAAGCTTCCCTTTTGAGGTATATTTTAAACTAGAGAGACACGTTAGTCAATTTCAAACTACTTTATTTTCAATTGTGCACTTACAAATATTCAATTTTTGCTTGAAAATTTGGTAAATAACCACTGCAATTTTGATCAAGTTGCTCTAAGTTTAGGCTTGAATGTCTCCCACTAACCCAAAAAATAATAATTAAAAACTAAGTACTAAAACATCATTCACTGAGTTCTCACCATGACTTTGCTGGCAAATTGGACTAAGCCAACCTCAAGGGTAACTTAGTGGAGATAGAGAATAGATGAGTTGTAAATGCAGACGATTTAGGTTTGAAACTTGGTAATTATTTTGGAGTCAGCTTATGAGTGATTTATCTTTCAGGAATTTTCTAGTTCTAATGCAGACAATGTATACGAACAAGCTAACTTGAACGCACTGATCGTGATACCAAAAAAAATGGACTAAGCCGGCCGGTCCAGTTATCCAATAGTCCATTGGTTTGTATGGCGGCCCGATTCATTTCCTCGTGAGGCCATGGATCTTACCCATGGCCCATCTCTACCGGCCCATTGGTCACTTCTTAGCTAGGCAAGTAGTGGTAGATTGAAAAAAAATTTCCGGATTCAAACTAGGGGTACAACTTAGGCAAAAAAATCCGAATTCAACTTAAAAAAAAATAAGGCTTGAGTTGAGGTTTTTAATACTTGAATTGGGACCTGGGCTGAAAAACAACAACCTGAATTGAATTCTAGCAGTACCCAAATATTATTAAAAATAAATATATAAATCAATAGCAATATAAATTACGACTAGGATTTATTAAAAGAGATCACAATTCATTTTAGCCATTCACAAGTAATGACTGCGCTTCCCTCATTAGCTCACTTAGACCCTCACTCTCTCAACCTTTCTCTCTCTTACTCCTTCTCTCAACCTCAACATCTCTCCTCCCTCTCTCAACCTTCCCTCTTACTCTGTCTCTTGGCCTCTCTCATTGGCATTCAATTACCATCAATGATCGATTGAAGACAGAAGACCTTCATCACAATCCTCCTCTATCTTCATCAACGATCGACTCACTCATCGATCCTCATCTGTCTCTCTAACTGTCTCAGAGTCTCACTGCGAATGTCTTCGACTCTCTCAAATTTGTGCCTTTATTAGTTTCAATGAAGACTGATGGGGCATAAAATCATGCCACATGGGTAAAGCATTATGTAGGAGCCATGTGAGGTTTAGGCTCTGCCAGACCTGAATTGAATTGTTTAGATTGGTAGTATGATCGAGTAAAAGGATCTAGCCACATCAAGATAAGAACCGAACAACAAAATAACTACCTACATTTAAGGGATTCAGCTGTACCATCTAGGTAAATCCAACAACTCATGAGTTAAGATCAAGGGAACGTTAGAAAGATTTTGGGAAGAGCCAACAAACAATCCTGCATTGGAGGAAGATGTGCCATCTTCTTCCCTAGAAAGATGGATTACTGAGGTCTATATAAGTCAGCAAGGAATTATAGTGAGAGGTATGTTGAATCCTTCCATAACACATTCCTTTTTGATTTACACTTACTGACTTAAGCATCAGAATGCCTTCGATCGAAGTATTGCAGTTTTGGGCAGTTTGTCCGTTTTACAGGAAACTTAACTCAGAGAAGGACATCATCAATCGTAGAAGATAAGAGGAAATTTGTTCACTTACATTTGGCGTCATCTGTGGGAAAAAGAAACAAAAATTCATGTCAAGATTAAAAAGCACACTTGGGTCACCACTGGAACCCGATGTACAACAAGAAGATTCGAATCCAAACTATAGAGTATCGTTTCCATCTAGAAGTGATATTCGGGTGGATATCTATGATAACCAGGATGAATAGCAATAAGATAGGATCTCTCCTTCTAGTTTCAACCCAAAAGATGGTGAGAATCAGCGTGAGGACTCGTAGGTAAGATCCCTCCATACTGAAGGGACAATCCTGCCTTCACAAAGTTGGTTCAGTCATTACAAGATCACTTGGATGCACACAATGAAATGTTCAAAAAATCATATGCAAGGGAGAAGGCCTTGAAACGAGAGAATGAGGAACTTAAACGAAAACTGAGGAAAGCCAGTGAAAGAGAGGGCTCAAATCATGGAGATCGCTGCAACCGTAGGAGGCTACATAGAACGCTAGACCGATGGGAAAAGAGAGAAGAAGATTCACAAAAAAATGGCCACCATAAAAGGACACATCAGTCAGGTAGTCAGGAGGAAAAGTGGAAGCAATTTATCATAAATGAACTTGATAGTCAATTAAATCGACCAG